GGCGTTGCAGGATTTCAGTCCTTCACGGCGTAGTGTGTTACCAATTGTTTTCTTGGTGACTATGCTCCCAGCTGCCTTGAGATCATTAACAAGATCCTCTTGTGTAGTTCTGGACTGATTCCTCACCGTTCTCATTGTTGTGGTCGTGACCTAAATATGAATATTAATCTCTTAATACATAATAATTAAGCAATACGGAACAACATTAATATTTTTATAATTCATGGTAGTATGGTCGAATATGTGGATAGAAAATACACAAAACGTTGTAATATTAAATGTATATTTAATATAACTATAATAAATAAACAGATGCTAGCGGAATGTCAATTTACCACAATAATTATACAATACAATACTACACAAAACGCTATTGGTTGCTAAATATTATACAAAAGGCTATTACAATTGCTAACTGTTACAATGGATTCATATTACTTACAAGGCCCCAGCCAAAGGGCTGGGGCTAAGTCAGAGCTGGTACTACATGATCAGTCAGGTACAGGCAAAAAGAGACAGAGTTTCTCCTACATCTGGTTTTTATTCAGTGTAAGTAGGCTGGCCTGTGATGTCACTGCCAGAAGCACATGTCTTCCTACACACTCCCCCTAGTGGTGCCCCCAAAGCATTACACTAAATATGCTTTCTTTATGATGTAAAGTCATTAATTAATAAATACCATTACACTCATGATCATTGAAACGCCACAAGGTGAGATCTTGCATGCAGCACCAGGCCAAGGGAGACTGACAGTTATTTTGTGTTTCTTCCATTAGAGAATAAGCGCACTAACTGTTGTCGCTTTCTCACCAAGCTGCTTGGCGATGGTCTTGTAGCCAATTCCATCCTTGTGTAGGTCTACAATCTTGTCCCTAAAATCCTTGGACAGCTCTTTGGTCTTGGCCATGGTAGAGAGTTTGGAATCTGACTGATTGCTTCTATACAGGCAACAAGCTGAGATTAGGAGCTGCCTTTAAGAGAGTGCTCTTAATCTAAGCTTGTTACCTGTATAAGAGACACCTTGGAGCCAATTATTGGTTTTCCAACTTACTGTTTTGTAGAACGACGGGATAATTCTAGTACTTATGATCACCATATATGATCTATAAGTCATTTTTACTTCTATTCTTGCACTAAATATTTGGATTGACATAGCTCAAGAACACACTGATAGTACTATAATAAAATAGCCTGCTTAAATAAACTCCAGCCATGCCAATAGCTGGAGTCATCTGATACAGGCAGACAAAGTGGATCTCCATAGACTGTATCAATTGCACAAAGTAGCAACTTTATGATGATACTTTATTAAAAGACTGGGACTTTATTATTATCATCACTTTTAACATTGGGACTATCGAACTGTAATATATTAGTAATGAAACATTGTTGTTTTCCAGCTTTTATATTTCTTGGTACTACACCTGGTAATCTATTATATTTAATCTAATAATTTTCTTTTATTTCATTTTGGCTTTATAGTGGGAGCCTACCTTTCCAGTCAAGCAGTATGACTGTTTAGTAAATTCTGTCTATCCTTATTCGAGAATTCTATTCTCAATTACATTTGCCATATCTCTCACATGTCTGTGGGGAATCATGGATTAATATTGGGAGATATGAGGTGGCAATGAGGGTAGGGTGGGAAGCTGGTAGGTTGCATGATGGGGGAGAGAGGAAAGGATAATAATTAAGATACAAATATACAAACAACAAAAAATTATAACTATATACAAAAACCCATCTAAGGGGGTACTAGGTAGTACGGATTTAAAAAAACATGGCTCCTATGAGCCCATGATGTGCTAGCAATGTGGAGTGTCATGTTCTCCTTTACACACGAACCATATCTTATATTGCCCGAACCCCAGTAGGGAGAAGTTGTTGCACTTCTTGTGGGAAATTTCCCCCAAAAATAAGGCAATAAGTGTCAGTAAATAATATAAGTGTCAGTAAGATGGTGGGGGACACACTAAAAAATTAAATAAAAAATAAGATAACCACAAGTAGAGAAATATATGACCATTATGGCACAACAAAAAAGGGAGAAAAGAATGGCCATATGTTCAACATGTAAGATATTAGGCTCAGAAAAGAGAGTCACTTAGCTGTCGCGACCACATTGCAGTCCTTGGAGACTTTGGCTGGGGAGTGCGGTAGCAATTCTCAATCCTTTCCCGGAGGTGGAAGAGAAACAGGTATCCCCCATTCCTTTAGGAGTTGGCTGCCATTTTCCAGTGTTCAGAGAAATTTATCTGTGCCATTTCTTCTGACCAGCAATTTTGTTGGGAAACCCCAGCAATAAAGTATGTTGGTCTCTCGAAGGGCTATTGCCAACAGTGCCAGCACTCTTCTCATTTGCAGGTTAACAACCAACAGATCTGAGTACACTTGAATTCTAATAAAATGGTCAGGAAGCTTGCATGGCTTGCATCTTAAAGCTTGCATGGCCTTCTTCTTTGCTGTGTTGTAGTGGAATTTCGCCACCACATCTCTCGGGATCGCCGGTGCCAAGTGTTTTGGCTTCAGTAGCCGATGAATTCGGTCCAGCATCAATTCTTGACTTGTCAGGTCAGGGACAAAAGCTTGAAAGAGGCCTATAGCATATGCCCCCAGGTCAGCTGGTAGGATGTCCTCCGGGATGCCGCGTATGAGAAAATTGCTGCGTCTATCCCTGTCTTCATGGTCCGCCACTTTATTTGTTAGATGGTCAATCGTGGTGCATAGCTCAGTGTATGCATCTGCAAGTGGGTTGTGGGCTGAGATGATCTCCTCCGTCTGGTCCTCTAGGTGAGCCGTTCTGTTCCTTATGTCCCTTGCTACCTTAGAGAGCTCTGACTGAAGAAAGGACTGGAACATTATGTGTACTGAGATGTCCGTTGCTGGAGTCGAGGTATGTAGGGAGACAAATGTGCCGTCATTCTTGTCCAAGAAGGACGCAGGGGAGTGTCTGGAGGCGCTATCTTGGGCCTGCGTTTTCGACTATGTCAGTGCCATGACCTGCAGTGCAGTTTGTTTTAGTCTTGCTTTTTTGGCCGATTTCGAGGCCATGGTTGTCAGGGAACTTTCCAGAGGAATGTGTATGGCTGTTGGTATATATTGTGCTTAGCAAATCACTGATTATGGATGATGGTCCGAGGAGCCAGCAAATCAGACAACCATCTTGCTAAGCTGCTTGGCCATGCCGCTTAGTCCCTCACTTTTTAAATCTGCCCAGCAGTTCAGTTCAGATTTCATGTTGCAGTTAGGGTCTGGGCGCCAGGACCATGAACAAAGCTCCACTCAATGCATGGTCTGTCTTGAGGGGAAGGCTGTCAACCCACCCCTTTCACAGATAGGTCCTCTTCTCTCTACAACCTGCTCTCTTGCCTGCACACCTTCTGGGATAGAATTATTGACAGGTATGCTGGCACCAGACCTTGCATAAAAGCAGTTGAAGCACTTGGGTAGTGTTTATGTGGGGAGAAAAATAATTTGCAGTGGCTTAGAAACACTAAGATTCTTCTTCTGGAGGGGAGGGTGGTAAGCCAAAAACATGATGAAAACATTTCTGTGTCTTTAAGTCTGTAATTGGCTTCAGTTCTGCTGAGCCCCTCCCATCTCATGCGTAGCTGTTTGGAGAAACCTACTTAAGAGCATCTAGGCATGTCAAAAATGGAATGGTTTGAAATGTATTTCAGCTTTTGCTTTTAAAAAGGAATTTCCATTGAGTTGAAATCCAGATAGCAATGCCAGTGTACCTTGAGTAGAAGAATGCTATCAGCTTTTCTATTTAGAGGCCATCATTGGCTGCTAGCACCAGGGTTACCAAACAGGAGAGAGAAGCAAGAAGCCATCTTAGAAGCAGCATAGGGAGAGTTCAGCAGCAGCAGCAGCAACTCCTGGCCCCCGCCAAATTTAAGTGTATAATATTATCTTTTCAAAATTGCCCTAAAGTGGGCTAATTAAGCAGGACATTTACAGTGTTACTATAATGCCAGGGAAGTGAAATTGCTAGATTGTGAAGGGAACATTTCTGAAACAGAGCACTGTGCTGCCTGTCATCAATAGTTTTAATAACCCTTACTGCATATACCCACAATCTTCTTTCTCAGTTATGAAGCTTTAGGACTTGGGCTGCAGGACTTGGGCTCTGACTCCAAGGACTATCTGATTCTGATTTCAAACTGCTTTAATCTTTGATGATTGTTGTTTCTATTACCCATGTCAGCTACCACTGCAGATTAATTGTATTGCCAACTGTTAATGTAATAAGAAATGTATCAGCATAGGCGTGCGCACGGGGTGTGCCGGGTGTGCCTGTGTACACCTTAGTCCCCGTGGCAAGCCTATGGTTTGAGTCCTGCAGGAACAGCGTCCCTGCACTTTTGATGGATTACCCCCCCCCCCAGCTCAGCCGCGGCGAGGGAGCTCTCTGCTCACTCTCACCGCGCGCCCTGATGCCGGGAGCCGGAATATGACGTCATATTCCGGCTCCCAGCTACAGCAGACAGCCCGAGCGGCGAGAGGGAGCAGAGAGCACACAGCTCCCTCGCCGTGGCTGAGCTGGAGAGAGGCGCCCGCCCCACTGGACCCCAGGGAAAAGTCCACCAGCACTCCAGGTAGGAGGCTGGGTGGACATTGTTTTAAATGAAAATATAATAATTTTTTCTTGTGTGTGAGTGTGTGTGTGTGTCTGTGAGTCTGTGTTTGTGAGTGTGTCAGTGAGTGAGTGTGTGTCTGTCTGTGTGTGAGTGTCTGTCTGTGTGTGAGTGTGTCTGTGTGTGAGTGTCTGTGTGTGTGAGTGTGTCAGTGAGTGTGTGTGTCTGTGTGTGGGTGTGTGTGTGTGTGTGAGTGTCTGTGTGTGTGTCAGTGAGTGTGTCTGTGAATGTATGTGTGTGTGTGTCAGTGAGTGTGTGTGTGTGTGTCTGTGAGTGTATGTGTGTGTCTGTGTGAGTGTGTGTCTGTGAATGTGTGTCTGTGAATGTGTGTGTCTGTGAGTGTATGTGTGTGTGTGTCTGAATGTGTCTGTGAGTGTGTGTGTGTACGCATGTATATATATATATATATATATATATATATATATATATATATATATATATATATATATATATATACACACACACACACGCAGAGCCGACGCTATCTGAGTGCCGGCTCTGCTCTAAGCCTCCATGGGCCGGCGGGGAGACCAAAGATCTACCTCACAGGACCACAGCAGCATAGAGGGAGGCAGGAGAGGACCCAGTGAGCTCTAGACAGAAGCTCCGCCAGGTTCCTCTCGCGATATCTGAGTGTTGCTGCGTCAACGCTCAGATCTCGCGAGAGTTAACTCTAGCCCTGCAGGCTAGAGTTCACTCTACACTGGACCACCAGGGATGGCACATGGCAGCAAGGATTTACTAATCTGCCAAATCCCTCCAAACATACAGCACACACATACAGCACCTACACACATACAGCTCACACACACAGTACACTAACCGCACCCTCATAAACACACACAGCACCTTTAAAAAAAACGCAACACCCTCACACACAGCACACTAACAGCACCCTCACAAACACACACACACACAAACAGCACCCTCACAAATACACAACACTCACAAACAGCACCCTCACAGGACAAACATGCACACACAAACAGGACAGTCACAAACACACACACACACAAACACCCTCACATCACACTAACAGCACCCTCACACACACATCACACTAACAGCACACAGCACACTAACAGCACACACAGCAGTGTGTGTGTGTGTGTGTGGATATATATATATATATACATATATATATAGACAGATAGATATATCCACACACACACACGCGGCGTGTGTTTGTGCTTTAGGGTGCACACCCTAATGCAATAGGCTGCGCACGCCTATGTGTATCAATATTCTTCTGCTTTAACCCTGTACACTGTGCTGAGAGCTAATAGTGAGTCAGGAGTAGCTGATATGGTTGGAGTCTATCAGTATCTTGGTGCTTTGACCACAAGCACACTGTGAGCTGAAAGCTAATGGAGTAGCTGACATGTTTCATACCGTCAGCAATATTTAATAGAAAGCTAAAGTTATAGCAGATGCACTACTGCATATTAAATCATGTAAGGGAGATAGAGAGAGATGGAGAGAGAGCTAAAGCATTTTACAGATATATGTGTTGATATGTCTGTATTTCAGCTCTGTGTAATCCATCACAGTGATCCTGGCTGTGCGGTATAGTTATGAGAATCTCCTTATTGTGCCAGCTCTGTGTGTTATTTCTCTGTATTTTATTCAGCTTTACCTATTGCATGGGTACCTCTGTAGTCTACCCAGGTCTGTGTATTGTATAGGTATATTTGTTTTGTGCCCCGCTGTGTGTATTTGTGCCCAGCTCTGTGTATGTATTTCTGTGGTATGGTTAACTATGTATTGTACTAAGCTCTCTGTATTTTACAGATATCTTTATGTTGTGCCTACCTTGTTTTATTGTATGAGCATCTCTTTACTGTAGTGTATAGGGAGGAGTATTATGGTTAAGGAGTCTGGCGCCCCACCATCTTAAAACTTCACCAGCCTCTACTGCATAAAAGGGATAACATTAGCCTACCATACAATTCTAGCTTGGTAATTTTGAACAATTTCCACCTGATGAATACTGTGCTAATTTACAAGCTACCACACCTACTGCTGTCTTTATCACAGCTCAATACCAACGTTTTTTGGCAAAGATAACTTTCTTTCTGCTCTATAACCAGCCTACACCAGAATCATTCTCCTCACAACTACACAACAACAACAGACACCAACAGACACCAAAATAAAAGGCAGATAAACCACCTATTTCGGCTGACGTTCTTCCGATTGCCACAAAGTTGGAGGTCTGTCATGGTGCCTCCATCTGAGCATTCTTTCGATTCAATCAGGGACATTCCCTTGAGGAGAATGCAGAGATAATTTCACATACTAATTTCACATACTGCCAGCACATTCATATCCATTCTCCAGAGCAGCCCATCCAGTGATGAAAGAGAACCTTAAGAGCCTTCTGGTGGAGTTGTGCCATAACATAGCCACGAATATATTCCTCTTTTGAGAGTAAATAAATGGAAACTCTTCACGCCTTCATAACATGGATTTGACTACAATAGTGCACGTGGAAAGGATCACTGTGTTGGTACGTGGAAGGGGACCTGTATATTTCTAGGGAAAGGGGCACTATAGAATTAGGAATACAGGTTTGTATTCCAAATTCTATAGTGTTCCTGTAAGGTGAACATTTTATGACAAGTTTAATTGTAATACAGCAGAGGTCAGTTTTATTTGTGTAGATAAGATGTTATACAGAGAAGTAGGGTAGTAAGGGTTTTATGCAGATATTTGTACCAATCACAAAACAAACAAATAAAACATGAAAAACATCAATAACATATTGGAAAAGGTAGCATGTGAGCTCTGATGCAAGATCTGTAACATCAGTGAAATATATTAAAAACTGAAACACAGACCAAGCATTCAGACACTTTACTTAAATATCATGTTGAAGAAAATTGCAGCACTCAACTGGGAAATTGCTTTTTACAGCGGATCAGTCAATCCAACACCTTGCAATCAAAATAAAGAAAGGGAAATTTCTAAAGTGCACAGGAAAAGAGAATATTGTAAACGGTAACTGCTTTTCACATCAAAATCACACAAGCTTAAAAGGATCTTTGTTTTTATCCTATTATTTATTTCTTTATTCAGGATATTTTACTTTGTTTTTAATCCAGCAAGCCTTTACTGTTCGTTTTTATTTTTTTATACTCTAATTGTGTGTAACTGTTCTTGACCTATCTATTACTTACTAAAAAAAAAAATCCGTTGGTTAGAGATTGTTGTGTAAGTATTCTGTTTGATGTTTGTCCACAGGGGATTTGGGTGCAAGTTCCAAATACAAGTATTAGTTAGGTGCAAACTGGTTTGTGGGTCTGGAATAACGTTTGATGCATAGTATCATAGAGTAAGTCCCTGTACACTGACTTACATGCTTGTAGAAGTAGCTTTTTAAAACACTCAATACAAAAGTATTTACAGATTATTTTACGTTAAAGGAACACTATAGGGTCAGTAACACAAACATGTATTCTCCATATGTTAAAACCACCATCTAGCCCTCCTGACCCACCCTTGCCTCCCTAAATATAGTAAAATCTTACGTATACTCAAGTCTGCCCCTGATCTGTATGCTTGGCTGACATCATCAGAAGGGATTCTCCAAGCCAATCACAATGCTTTCCCACAAGATTGGCTGAGACTGTCAAGGAGGCAGATCAGCATCTCCTCATAAAGATCATTGAATTAATACATCTCTATAAGTTTAGTGTCTCCATGCAGAGGAACACACTATGCACCACTGCCCCAGGAAGCACCTCTAGTAGCATCTGAGGAGTGGCCAGTGGAGGTACCCCTAGGCTTTTTTTTCCTCTGAAAATACAGTGTTTACAGCAAAAAGCCTGAAGGGAATGATTCTACTCACCAGAACAAATACAATAAGCTGTAATTGTTCTGGTGACTATCATGTCCCTTTTAAGAATCTGCTAGAATAAATCAAAGTCAGTACCCCTAATCTGAGTGGTAAGCAGTGGTTTAGAGACTGGTACTACTTTGGTAAATTGTACTAGCCAATAGATCCTTTTACCTGTGTGATGTACGTGTAATGCTTTGAGATTTTTTTAATGCACTTTACAATTATAGAAAGGGAAAGCTTACAATATGTGGGCAGATATATATCATTAGGAATCTTTCTCCGGGACACTTAAACCTGGGTTTCATATATATATTTGTTGTGCATTCCTTTTTTTGTCAGTTTTTCACTACTTTTAATAAAAATATAGGATAGAGTAATCATATCATTTTATTTGGAGCTGGTCATATGAATATATTTTTTTTAATTATAGCTTAATAGGAAACACCTCTAACATCTTATGTTAGTGATTACAGTGATTTTATTGTGCCTTTATTATATTTTTTGATAGCTAGATAGATAGACTTACTTTGACCTGTCCTTAAAGCTTAGGAGACAAAAGCCCATAACCCCCTTTACTCTTCTGCCTTAACACAAGCATATTGTTCAAAGTTTTATTTTCATCACATCAAATAACACAGAAAATGTGGAAGCATTTCCCCTAATGTGTCTCCAATGGCCATACTCAAACCCTTGACATGCAGGATCACTCACCCAAGTAAATACACTGATTCTGAATGATTCTATTGAGTAGTAGTTTTGAATGTTTCCTTAATTTTTTTTTTATTTACATAATATTTATGTTATTGAATGGTACACTGATTGGCCAATTTTCATGCTCTTTTGCTTCATCAGATTTGTTTATCTGAATTTTTTTTCTTTAATAAAATTCGGACAAGTCGAAGCACAATGTGATGGAAAATTGGTCAAGTTAAATATTTTTTATTTTTAGACAAGTGGCTAGGCCAAAATTATTTTTTCTGTTATTCTATTCTAAGTCAAACATTCATCCTTTATATTACACACAGCTGTTTTTTTAACTTTGGAAGGCCCTTACTTCTCTAACCCCCATCTGACTTCACAGAGTGAACAGTTTTACTTTAAGTCCCACAAAAGTATATCATTCTGTTTTGAACTTAGTGACCTGGGCTCAGATTTTTCTGGACCTTACCTCAATGGATCTTCAATCTGCCATGCAGACCTCTAAAACCTGTACCCTCCTCCTCCAATTAAGCAATGTCATTAAGGATCCTACATAGGGCCTAGTTTATTCCCTTGTTACATTTTAAAGCAGGTTTGTCTTCAGATAGTAAATGTTGTAAATGCAACCAGACTGATGCAGACTTTCATCAATGTTCATGGCTCTGTCCCAAAGTGTTATAGAACACAACAATGTTTTAGAGCTCAATTTTATACTGAAAGGTGAGTGGGTATTCTTGGCATTGTTTCTGATAATAATCTAGTTCATGGGTAGTCAACCTGGTCCCTACTGCCCACAAGTGGGCGGTTTAGGATTTCAGATGGGCGGTGGTAGGTTCTCCAGAAAACTCCCGGTGGGCCTGGATGGCCATGGACTAAGGCCGGCAGTGGAGATCTTTTCATCTCTGCTGCTCGCAAATGCAGTGCCAGCGTTTAAGATCTCCCTCA